TATATATATATGGCGCAAAAGCAATGCACCCGAAGAGTAAGCCCTAATCATACCAGACAGCCAAAACACTGAGCGGTTACGATTACTGTTAGCAGGTCTTTCGAAGCAGTTACCGTAGGTAAAACGTACGTTCTCTATCGAGCCATCATGTGGTCCGGTTCGTCCTTTCCGTCTTCTGTTAGACACAGGTGTATGTGATGCTGGTGGGACATGCTCCTCTTGTAAAGGGGGTTTTGGGGGCTCCGAAGGCTTGTTAGAGCTGATAGGTGCGGGTTCCGGTGGCGGTGTTGTGTTTGTTGATTGTTTGGGTTGTTCGGATAAACTTGAGAGTTCATCAGATGGCTTCACCTTCACTTTGGGTTCTGGTTGGTTCACTTCTTTAGTAAAAACAGGCAGTTGTCAGTATGAAGACCAATATGTATGAACAAGTACCTTGTTGTTTGTTCTCAACTGGTCTGAGAGTTTGTTCAATCTCTTCCATTATCTCTGGCGGTGGATAGGATTGTTTCTTCAGGTCCGACTTGCGAAGTATTTTTACCTTTTTGCCTGATTTTCTAAACGGCACCGATTAGAGTTATTATAGTGGGAGCACACAACACCATACATTTGTTGCTCCAACTCTTTTTGTTTTCGCAAGCCTTCTTCGTTGTACTTGAAGATGCGCTTGTCCGTGACCCATTCGTCCCAACTGTTATTGAAATGAAGTGAGCGATCTCGGTGAAAAGAAAACTGACTTTTTGTTCCAACCTTGGTAGTGGACAAAATAGACTACACCATCCTCCTTAACTTTTACATCAAGGCACTGCGTTGTGGACAAGAAAGAATGGATAAATACAATCGAAGGTTACCTTGGCCTCATACAAGAGAGGTCCATGAAAACACAACAGCTTTTCACCTAACAGACTTGAACGTAGTAAGGCAAAAGCAACACATACCAGGTTCATATTTTGGAACCAAATTCGGGGCAGAGGCAGACATTTTGTACAATTCTTCTGGAAAAAGGCGACCACAGTACTAGATCAGTGTCTAGACTGGAATAGAGGAAGATAAAAACATGTTAGCAACTGACGTAATACCCCAGTCCCGACATGAACCGATACAATATTAGAAATACTAGAAAGGTTGATTTAAACGTTGCACGGGTCATTGATAGCAACACGGCATAGGCCGAAATATTGAAAAATACAAAAATTGTGCACCTGGAAACAATGGAATCAACTAAATCATCAGAAGTCGTAAAGGGAGTTTCATTCGTTTTGTTTAGGATGTGGAAAGATCAAATGAACTGGATTTGACTTGTATGTGTTTGAGAGGAAGAGACTTCATCATTCAATCATACATCTAAATTAAAAGTTCCAAAATTTATCGAGGGTTCCAAGAAGTTACAAGTCGATCAAAAAAGGGCACAATCGGCCGAGAGCATTCAGCTATTAAGGTCAGGTTCACACGAGTCGTGACCCATCCTCCACAGTAAATTCGAATTGGTTATACGGATTGATCCACTTGACTGTTGAGCTCCTAGAGATGAAGCGGTTGCTGGCTGCTGGCCTCATTCAACACAGTCCAGAACATCGACACCAGTCCATCGTCAATAAACCAAATGCGGTGTGAAATATCCTTCCTCGAAAGGGGAACGACACCCCACCCAGATGACCTGCATTCCGTAATTTTCAAAGGTAGTAGAGCCATGGTGATTGATCTGACGACCTCGCTGTGGAAGATTTGGGACGAAAACAGAATACCGGTGATGTCTACCTTCAAATAACACTCAAGAACGTCATACGGAAACCATCAAGGCATGAGTCTGGTAGCCGTGGTATGCAAAGTGCTCTCTGGCATTATTTTGTGCACGTTGATAGATTACCAGGAGAGAATCAAGCTGTTTTCCGCCCTGGTCAAAGATGCGTCGATCATATGTCTACCTTGAAACAAGTCCTTGAGCTTCCCCCAACTTTCAAACATATCAAGTTGGTCACATTTTTTTTTAGCTGAAAGCTGCTTTTGACTCTTTCAATCTCCAGGAACTTTCACGGCATTCGGCGATCAACGATGTGCTTACCAAAGTTATATCCCTTATGAGGGCACCGTACGCGCGTAAGGGCATACTGCAAGCTGCTGTTTGAGTTCATTACGACTGGCGGTGTAAGACAAAGTTGCCATCTCTTACAAATCCTTTTTAGCTTGACTATTGACGTGCAGCTCGGAACTCCTCTGACTACCTCTGAAACCTCGGGGATAGAAATACTTTTTGGACGCTCGCAGACGATATTGCCCTCCCTGGTTCAGATTCTTCGAGGATGCAGTACTTTTGAAGAACTCAAATAATTCTACTGCACAGTTAGGCATGAACTTCATAAAGAGAAAATGTAGTGTTACCGAAACGAAAGCATGCTTCTTGATGGGCTAATCGACGTGGTAGATAAGTTTGTACGTCTAAGCAGTTGTACAAGTCCCGGCGGATTGGCGATGCACAAAATTACTTCCCGAGTCGGGAAGGCCAAGGGAGCATTTGCCAAACACCGACATTTGTGGTGTCAATGTGACATCAGCTTGACTGTCAAGGGTGGAGTGTACATTGATGCGATCCGATTTGCTCTACTTTGCGGACGACAGACGTGACGGCTAATGCTGAATATGTTTGAAAACTCCGGTTTCATTATAGATGCTTTCGAAGCGTTGCGCGGATCTGGTGCGGAAATGAAATCAGTAAGGTTGATGCTATCCTGGAAAGGTTAATCCCCCTCGACTGAAAGGCTGACCACATTTCACGCTTGTCAGGCAATGTACTTCGTATTCTCGTAGAATTCCCTTGGCCCACCTTATGTCGGATGGAGACGAAGAAGAGGGGGGCAGTCCATGACTTGGTAAATCAATCGCGTTGAAAACTGTCGCCTCTCCATATGGGAATCACATCATGAAATAAACCAATGGTTGGCGACGTTGGCAGATATGGTTGTCACGCAGCATGTGGCGGTCTTGTAGCAAATTTACAGCGTTCCCCGCGTAATTCTCATCCTACGCCACAGCGAACGATCTGAGGTCAAAGGACCGATTGAACCGTCCCGTCTAAAGGACCTCCCGTTTCACTATTTTCCTTATCCTCGTGAATGAAGCTGTAGCAGCTTTAACAAGTGTCATAGGTGGTGTCTTAGTAAATCCGACTCTGTCTAATAATCACTTACGGACTGCTTCAATATATACTCACTGAGGCCAGTTGATGTCTGGCACTTCCCATACATCGGCGACCGAATACCAGGAAACATTAATCTTCAGATGGGAGAGCTAGAGCTGATTGACGCACAAGTAAAAACTAATTAGTGAGCAACGGTTATTTCTCCAACGCGCGTTATTCCGGAAGTTACCAAACGAACAACGCAAAGACGGCTACTTACGGAGATCCAATGGAGTAAGGAAATCTCACCTCGATAACTGGGGGTTATGGCAACACCAGCAAAAACCGCTGCAGCAGATGTAGAATCACCCCAAGTTCGTAAGCGGTAGTGCCTAGAAAAAAGTGCCGAAAGTTCGGCTGCTATACATAGATACTGCATTGGAATTCCGGAACCGCAGCAAATATCTATGGACAGCGTAACGCGTGCGCGCAAGAGCAGCTTGTTGGCCTATCTACCTCAGAATTCGTACACTAGAAGTAGCCATAAAAGGAGTAACAAATCTGAGGTGGACGCGATAGCGTAGGGGTGGGCGGCAATACGCTACTAATCAGTTATTTTGATGCACGGTTGATGTACCCATATGTGGGGTCTACGCAAGAGTGGGCGTCAAACGGAAAAAGAAGTACCGAGATGATACTGAGGGAAGGTCGGAGATATCAGCCGTATAGAGGGAAATGTCGGTAGCACAGGTAGCGTAGATGGTGGTCGTTGGCTTGTTCGCTGAGCTGGGCAATTTGATTGCAAACGTTTCATCACCAATCGAGGTGACATCATCAGTGCGTTATTGGGGAGCGTAACAGTGCGTAGCGGTGGATTAGTAGTTGGCACATTTGCCCAGTTCAGCGAACAAGCCAACAACCACCATATCAGCAGTAGCCTGTTTCCATCTACTCGTCCTGCGAGCCGGCAGGCACTACGCGACGGCCGAAATAGCATAAATCATTGTTACTCGTACAGTTACATGTGGTTTGATATACTACCAGGAGTATGATTACGGTATTCAATCAGAGCCCTGGGACAAAAAGCCTAACTACAGGCAATGATGGTTGGTGTCTGACTACCAGATTTGTGCAACTTTTAAGACATACCATCACACACTCCAACCCCCAACCTGTAGGGACAGTTTACCTTTCATCGATTAATCAGCCTGGCATGATCGTGAATGTCACATAGGCAACCTCCAATATGGCTCCGTGGGTCACAAAGGTGCGTGAACCGCAAAATCAAGTTAAAGTCCAGTCTCTCAATGAACGAAGATAGGTCGAGCGGAGACGACTGAGGATACAGTCGTCCGCATTTTGCGTCGAGGTTCTGATTAAAAAAAACTCACAGGACGAACGAAACTGATTGCTAAACTGAATTAACTGAACCACGGTTCAGTTAATTCAGTTTAGCAATCACGAACCGTAAAGCATTCACGATAGTTCAGGTCATCACAGCTTATGGCAGCCAATAGCGTATCACACACATACACCGAAAAACAAAGAAAAAACTAAATGGCGCATTGATAATTAGGATTAAACAAAGCAACACAACGGTTGCACTGGCTGCTTGACACAGCCAGTTCGGTGAGTACTTCTATCGACTGATGCTGTGAGTCTCTGATAGCCCACTTCACAGACAACGTGCAACAGCGCAATCACTATCATCAAAATCATCAGAGTGTTGACACTGGCATTTCAGTACCAGACAACCATAAAGTTCATCTAATTACATTTAGGACTATAGAGTGAAGAGAGGAGAAAAAGGGAGTGAGAGAGTGGGTCGAGTGCTGGTCTTAAGTAAAAAAATATAGTCGCAAAGCGCTTTCGGTGCCTTCAAAGTGCAAAGTCACGCCCAGACCTAGACAGGAGAACGACTAGGGTCCTCGACCAAAACCTTCGTCTCAAACGCCTGTTCGCAAGGCAGCGGCGTTTGGCGGGAAACGCAAGTGCATTACCATTTTATAAAGCAAGTCTCCACACATGTTCTAACTCCTAGCCTGGAGGAACAGGAGACTGTTAGTCAGACCTCTAACCATTGACCAACCTGGCACGACTCTGTGAGTGTCGCACGGACACTATCCAGTATAGCTCAATGAGTCACGCAAAAGACCGTCACACCGCTATTCTTGTCCCAAAATCACTGCATGTGAGTTGGTGACAGCGAATCCGTGACGAGCTTTCGATTGTTCAGCGGGGATTTCCATCGAAGAATTTGTTTAACACCAGAAGCTACGTTGTTTAGGCCACGTATTGCGCATGCCGAAGAGAGTGCTGCTTTCCGTGACCAATTCAGAGCAACGGAAGCAGAGAGATGGTCAACCGTTGATCTGGTTAAGGTGTATGAGGAGATTACGAAAATTCTTGGTGCTGTCAGTGAGATTTGTCTTCCAGAATGCGGACCACGTGATCCCCACTGTGCCTGGTTGGAAACACTTTAAGATACGGCTTCTAAACGATGTCGACGACGTTGTTGCTGTCATTTCCTGTCCAGATTGCCTGACTATGTGTCTGAAGATATAAGCACCTCGAAATGATTGTAGTAAGTTAGTATTAAGTCATGATAAGGCTTTCAAATAAATCATGATTATACGGTAGAGAAGCATCATTGTTGAACTGTGATGTTATGCTGATGATGATGATGACGTACCATCATCATCATCATCATCATCATCATCATCATCATCATCATCATCATTGTCAGCTGTAAGAACCGCGTAC